GATATGGTTATCATTACATGGTAGGGTTAAGCATTGAAAATATATAGATGAAGGACTTGAATTTGAACTAGACTGAAAAACAAGCAAACAAACAAAAACTTTATTGGTTGAAAACCATTTCCTCAAACACTTGAGTGTAATTTACCTGCAGTTAGTCTCTATCTACCACCTTRTCTGGGCTTCTCTCTCCTACAGAAATGAAAGCATCTTCATTTTACRTGACTTTAGAGATCCTTAAGGTGAAAATAAGTTTTACTCTAGTGAGTCAAAACCAAAAAACATCTTAATTTCAAAAGTAAAAACAATTATGAAAGAAAATGATTAAAAGAAGAAAACAGCAGTAGATCACACCTGATCACACCTGAACTTCAGTGGCCTTCTGTCCTTTGCATATTGCTTTTAACAGTCCTTAGTTTCTGTTTGCCAGTTATAGCTGTGGGTTCCTTATTTTTGATTTCTCTCTTGATTTAGTTAACTTTTTATGTTGATCAAGATTCTTGACACCTATCTGAGAATAACTCCTCTTTGATACRTAAAAAGGACACTCAAAATGTTGTTTCCTGTTCATTCTTCTTCCTTATCTCTGAGGAATCAACTGGATTGTACTTCTAAACTTCAACCACAACATTTTGCAAATCATAAATCATAGGACATTTTCTACTGTGTCATGGCACTATTTGTATTTTGGGTTGCTAATTTTCTTTCATAGAAACTACATGACATGTTAATACAATAAATATGTGGTATAAAAAAATTGCCCTTCCCTCCTCAAACACAGTGCTAGTTTCAAAGGCCATCATGTCTCAATGTTGACCATTAGTTACCTCAAACCTTGGCATGCTCTAATCTCCCTAGAGGAGTTCACAGCCTTTTGAAAGGACTAGCCTCCAAACTTCAGAAACTATTTCTTCATCGTATTTAAAACTGCACTTAACTAGACTTTATTCCTGTAAAATTAAACACAGAATGTTATTTTATAACTGTGACAAATCTACTTCAAAAAAAAAATCCACCATGCATTGTASAAGTTACTTCCACAGATGCATTGGAACAGAATAAGAGCAAAATAAAACAGGGAAAAATCACAGTTAGCACAGTGAGGGTGCAGTTTCATTTTATACCAAATCTGATTTAACTGCAAATATCAACCAAAAGTGGTTATCCCATTCTCTCCTATCTTCTTTCAGCCATGTGCTCCCATGTTTCCTTTATGTTAGATCTAGCAATTATGCAGCTGCAGGGCATAAAAATTTGGTTCACTGATCCAAGAAAAACTAACCTACCACAAAAAGAACTTTCTTCCTGTAAGATTTTACTTTTGGATTTAGTCTTGAAGCTAATACTAGGTGCAATTGTTATTCATATCAGAGACAAGAGCTTGCTTTTAGCCATGGGAGGCAAAGAAGGACCTCTTTTGAATATGGATAAATTTAAAGTTGAATTCAAATTGATCTCCTCTGGTCTACGGGCAGTGTGGCCTATAAAGTTCTGGTATARTAACCTAGCACCTAGCTGCACAGGTAGAAGAACACAGTAAGTATTTTAAAGAAGCAATTCTGAAAATTGGGAAAAAATTAAATCCATCCTAACATTTGTACTACACAACATAGTGTATCCCATATAATGTAAATACATATACCAAAACTGATACGATAGCTGTATAAAGAAATTATCACCTTCAGGAAAATCATTTAAATTATAAAGACATGATGATAGCCCTTGACTAATGCAGAGCTCATTTTCAAGGAAAATCAAAGCCTGTTTTCATCAAACTATTTCCACAGAATATTCTTCAGTTTGAATCTTCCATCTGAATCTTCCATTCCCTTCTATGCCCTAGATGTTTCTGAAAGTTAGTCAGTACTAATGCACAGAAGAGAACTCACCATTTCAAGTGGCACATCCCTTGAAATGTCTTACAAAGCACACRATTGCAATAGTACAGATTCAACCAAGTGTCCAGCACCTTTTCCTGTAGAWCCAAAAATAACTGTTAGTCATCAGAACATCTTGCACAATCTATTCCAGAAGTCTCCAGTATTGACTTTAAGGCACTCATAATGTTTGACTCTCTTAAGATAAATACCTCAAGCAGCGATGCCCTAGCTCCACCGAGACTGATGGCTGAGCTCCCAGTGACTTCAGTGGGAACAGTATCTCACACTTCAAGCATTCGCCTTGATACAATGCTTTCTGAAAACTGCATTTTAAGGGTTTGAAAAGATGACCTCAGTAATCTTTTTCTGCATGTGTCTGTGCATACACACATGTTATACCAGTGTAAATTAGGATAATAAGCTGGGCAATCTAAGTCAACAAGATCCATTACAATGTCTCTAGCTAATAGGGTGCAAGAGGGATCTTGACATAATTTGGCTAATTGGAAATAATGAGGCTTCTACTCAGTCCCACTGAAAGCCTTGCAGAAGAAAGTACATGTGGGGATCTTGCACAGCACCAGCCGAGCACAGGCACTGGTGCAGGCTCACACCTACGCCTATTGCCCTGAGCAGGCTCACAGAATCACAGAATGGTTAATGTTGGAAGGGACCTCTAGAGATCATCTAGTCCAACCCCAACCCCAGCTCGCACAAACTTCAGCACTGACACTCTGGCTTCACGGGTACTTTCTCACTCGTTGGCTACAGCAGACCATGTTGGAACCCACCATATCTCCATTGGGGGAGATTAAGGAAGAAAGAGTGAAGATGAAGGGAAGGGTAGTTGGGTGGAAGAAGCAAATCAGCACTTTGCTCCTCTCACAGACCATTCTGCCAAGCTTATTCCACAAGAGAATGAACTTCTGCCAAGTTTCTGTGAAGCTAGCACTGAAAAGCACTTTGAGAATAAAAGTAAGCTAGTCCTGTTACTTTAGGTTTTCCAAAAACAATGCCATTTTCAGATGGTGTCTGGTATCTATAAGCCCACTGCCTCCGATTTTCCAAAGCACTCATACAATCACTTAATGCTGCATGGAAGAGCAATGTTAAGGTTGATCTCTGTTAGGATATTTCTAAAGCATCGCACTCCGCACTGCTACATCCTGAGCTGCTGTCAATCCATTTAGTTCCCCCACATTTCAGACCAGGCTCTGAGTTTAGCTGCTGTGGATCCTGGCTGATATCTGAGCACAAACTATTCTGGACACTTTCTTTTTTCTGCAATCTGGAAAGCTCTTGTTATTGTTATCTACAGAAATTTATAGAAATTTCTTTGATCACAGAACTGCCTTCAAACAAGAATTTTATCTGGAACACATCTCAAAACAAACAAAAAGCAATCCTGAACTCTGTAAATGACAGCTATGGTGTATCTAAGTTACAAAACGAATATTTTTAAAGTCTATTTAAATGCTCCAGATTAAGATTTTAAGGCATCTTTTCTACTTAATCTACTTTTAAGAGAAGCACTGCAGTGTCATACAACCTCCAAACTTCTAAGAACAGAAATTAAATGATCTTATAATTCAGAGAGTAGCAAGGCAAACTCAGCCTGTACTTCAAAAAAATCAAATCACTTCTGTACAGCTGCACCAGCAAGTTTTTCTTTCAGCATACAAGCCTGTACATATGTCACAATTAGGAAGCACATATACACACACGACAACATCTTAATATAGGCTGTAACTTAACAGTGAGAAAGAATTCAGGCTTTTAAAAATATTTATTAAGATTTTTATCCATGGAAGATTGGTACTACAATCAGTGTAACCATTATGTCAGTCAAGTATGTCTGTTATAGGCAGGCACAACATTACAAAAAAGGCAAGTACAATGCCCAGTGAAGCAAATACAGTCTGAATATTTATTCACCCACTACTTCCGAAAACAGAATTATCAAATATCCACCAGGGAAAAAGATGAACTATTTTGGTTTCTCTTTGGCATACTTATCAGAACAATGGATTAATTACAGGAGTTTTCTATTGCTGCCAATGGTGTGAAGAATAAAGAAGATCGGATGGAAGAGCGTTTGGCCGAACGCGCTTTCAGGACGCAGGTGACCTGGTGAACTCACCAGAACTGCCGGGAAAAGACAGTTCAACTGCCAGTGTTTGACAAGGCAGAGGGGCACTGCATTGTTYTATAATTCATTTTGTTGAAGGTATAAAAGGAATTACAGTAAATTTATGCACCGTACATACATATTACACACAGTTATATAAATACCCATGCTGTGGCTGAGACTTAGGAAGTTGCTTTATCAATAAGAAAGCTACTATCGGATCTCCCAACATCCATTTAATACACATTGCACTTCGCATCCAGTAATAAGTTCATTTCTGTACCTCTCTCTTAAAAATAGATTTAAAACAGAAGCGAAGAATAATATCGAATCTTTCCATAAACTTTTTCTTATTTACATTGCAATATTCCGTTWTACATAAAGACTACGTTACGATACATTATCTTCATATAGCTTTTTGTAATACATACAGCTTGAAGCTATTAACATCTTCGTTTGGGAACCAAGAAATGACCTGTAAGACTATTTAAAACAAATCTAGCTTTAATTTTGCTCTAGTTTGTTTCACTGAAACCATTCTTTGACAAAAAAATTCCTCCTTATTGGGGAGGAAAAAAACAATCCATGTTTAAACCACCACTGGATTTCCTCAAGCCACTGAGAAACTCAGAAACCATAATCATTTCTGAATAATTATACAGCCACTTCAAAGGCCCATTACTTTTAAATGTAGAGCACAAATGACAATTGCGACCGCATCTTTAAATTATTATTTTTTTCAATCTTGAGATATTTTTCAAAAATAAATCATAATCATTAACCATACATGATCTTTGCACAACTAGGAAAAGTTCCTATTTTACTGGAGGAAAAAAACCCCAACCAAACACGCACACACCCCCATTCACAGAGTGAGAGCATAAGCTACAGCAGCACTTGTCTCATGGTGCACATGGTTGCAATACAGGGCATAAAACGAAGTAGGATTTCCAACATCTGGGAAAACACAAAAGAATTTATTGTACAAAAAAAAAAAAAAAAAAGTCATTCACATTCTCTACAATGAAGCGAGGAATCAGCTGTTCGGCTCTCGGGGCTTTCCAGGCGGCAAACTCCTCCTTCTATGGCCACGGACTGTCCCGCCACGGCCCCGGGGGGAAGTCTTGAAATGTGAGTCTGTGGCAAAATGAAGAGCGTTATCGAGTAAGGAAAAGGTAAATTAAACAGCAAGCTGGCAAGCATTGCACAATTAAGTTGCTCCATGGCAGAAGTCTGAGTGCCAATTATACAGTAAGTTGAAAAGCTGCAAACGATTGGAAAAATTTTATTTTGTGTGTGTAAATGTTTAACACATGAAGAGGAAAGGGCCGTGACACACGTGTGGAAAAGATAAACTGGATGACCCAGTTCATGGAAAATAGAAGAAAGAGATATTCAGTGAGAAAACAAAAGCAAAATAATTGCTGAATTCTAAGGCCTGTCCCTTAAGAGAGATTCAAAAAAAGTTTGGTACTGCACACAGAAATATATAAAAACCCTAGGCAGAGTAAAGTACATGACAGGGATGAACTCACACCTCTAAGCATAAGACAACCACTATGATGGGAATGCAAAGAAGAAATTCCTCTACATAGTGTCAACTTAAAAAATCCGAAAGTTTCCACTAAGGTATTTGTTGCCAACTGTCAAATAAACAGTACAAACAGGGCCTGTGTTTCTCTTAATAGGGTGCTTTTCCACGGAGGACTGAGTTGCAAGAAGGAATTTTTAAAAGCAAGCATTTGAGATGGCTCTGCAATATTTAAACCAGAAAATAAAAGCATGTGTGTGTGTGTGTATGCACATCCAAGTCCAGCTTGTTATGCTGTTATTCTCTGTGACRAAGAAATTTGCAAAGAAATCCTTTATATTCTGAGGTATATTTAGTTGTTGCTGGGCAAGAGCATTAACATATCAAAAGATATTTGGGCTTACTGTTAAGAGTAATGATTAAAGTATCCTTCTCCCTCCACACTCCCCCATGCAGTACTTTTATACCATGAAAACTGCATATGTTTTCCTCAAGACTGTTGGTATGGAAATACAGCAGTACCACTTACATATATATGGATGTTTTCGTATAGGACCAAGTGGCTAAAGCAGTGTCTAAACCCAACAACAAGAGGAGTCAGAAGTGAGTTACCACAAACTGCTTCCAACTTTCAGAGCTGCTGAGCGGGCTCTGGCAAAACTTAAAAAAGCTCTAGGACTACTTTAAGTCTACTCTAAAAGGCAATAGGGCTGATACGTGCATTTCCACAGGCAGGGCATATAGGTTGCTGGCCTGCACTCCTCTAGCTAGTTACACACTTGAATAAGTAACTCATTAATGCCCAGACAATTTAATGCTTTAACAATTATTAAATTAGAAAGCAGTCACGACTCCTACTATTATATAGAACTCAAAACAGTTAAGTTGCTGGCAGGAGAAATTACAGCTTCCTTAAGGTGCAGCCAACTACATATTTAAGTTTTTGCACGTACGTTATCCCATTTATAAGATTTAAGTGCTGTAAAATGCATAACTTGCAATAAGGTAGTGGGTTGTGACAAAAAAATGTGGATATATAGTGTATAAGTATAGTAAGAATAGCTTGGATCAATTGGGCAGAAAGTTATTTGAGGCTGTGACCACAATWCACTGATCGTACAGGCATTTTATATTTCCGAGAGACAGCCTCATTTAATTCCTTTCTTGATAAGGGCATCCCTCGTGTCTGCTCTTAGGTGGTCTTGTTTTCAGCTGAATTACAGAATGAGAATTAATTAAAAACATTTAAAAGGTTTTTATTTCACTGGTAAAACTTTGATCTGTGGYGTTCCTGCTTGATATATGAACATCTTCCTACTTTTAAAACAATTTTGGTTATAATGTGATTTACCACTTCAAGAAGAAGAGATTCCTTTCAAATCTGTTACAGTTCCCCTCAAATGTAGCTGACAATTTTTGCAGCCATTATTTCCTAGGTTCAAAAAAAGGAGAGAAACAACTGGAAGGGTATTTTTGCTTTTCAAGCCCAGCAGTCCTAAGATATTCTTCCAGACCTATGAAAAATTCAAAATGAAAAGTGGGACAGGACGACAGTGTAAGAGCACCATTCCAAGGGTCCAGGAATGACCTTTCCTCAAYGGGAGGCTGCCCTTGACTGTTTAAGGGAACACCACAACCAAAGCGGGTCGCTCTGATCCTCATCAAGCATCATTTACGARCAGGATGAGGCAGGCAGAGCTCCTAGCAGCAATGCAGTAAAAAGCACTGAAGCCCAAAGACTGCTTAGTAGCACAAAAGAGGGAACTTGCTACTGCAACAGAAGAAATCTTAGTACTATCATGATTACCACAAATCTTACACTAAAATTTTTCCCTGATAACTACAGTAGATGTGATCTGTGGATATTAATCTTCTGGTCCAAGCTACAAATTAACTTTTTACCTAAATTTGAATTATCCCACAACTAAGCAAAGTAAAATGCCTAGCACATCCTCAAGCAATTCCAGGAGCAAAATAAAATGTTTTGTTGAAACAACCAACTGAGCACCCCCCCAAGCACTGGAACTTGCTCTAGGTTCCAGCCATCAGGAGGAACCCACAGCAACTTCTTTCCCCATAAACCAAATCAAAACCACGCAGCAACCCAATGCTACAGATGCTGCCCATGTGACATGAAACATCTCAGACTCTTATGTGCCCTGGAAAGTCTCCCACCACCATGCAAGTCCAAAACTAATAGGTCACGCTGCCCTGGAATAAGTGTTAACTACTGCAGGGACAACATATGATTTCATCTTTTCATCAACTATATTTGATCAGTCTTCTAAGTTACACATCTTTAGTATTACCTTCTTTTTAATATTACACGCAGTGCCAAGACTTACTTGCTGCTCATAGATAAAGAATCCAAAATAACCTTGAGGTAAACTGGGATYGAGAAAGAATAATTTTCTTTTTTTAAGGTCTATAAAGAACTAGCTTCMTCCTTTTACTCATGTAAGAATATTAGTATGTCACGTTAGATTATTTTGCTTTTAATAAAAAAATGACAGTGCATAATGAACACCGTGTTTAAGCCAAATGGACAGATCTGCATGAGGAAACTGAAGTCAATCAGCTGCTGCCAAGAGGACAGAGTACAGCTACCAGATGGCAGCACATTCAGTTCTTGAGCAAACCAAGGGAATACTTCATGTGTTTCTTTTTTTCTTTTTAATTTTTTTTTCTTTATTACATGCTTAAGATGTGCCTTGGAAAGGCTAATTTATAAAGCAAACTTTTTCCATTCATTACCCTATTGAGATGAAGTATAATGAAACAGAGACCAAGCACATCATGTACTTAATTCAATTTGCTTTCTAGCACCTTAAAGAAAAGAGTGCTATGGAAGTTTGAATCACTCAGAAGCACCCAAACTTCATAGATGGCTACGTGCTCCCTTCAAGAAAACCATCTGCCCACCTCTCCTCAGTGTCTCTCACAGGCAGCAAGAGCCACCCCGATCCCCGTCCTGGGACGCTCTCCTCCCTCACCAGTGCCCACATGCCACCCAACAGGAGATGGAGGCCAGCAGAACAGCGGCAACTAGAAGCAGGCTGATGCTATTGCAGGAAATTACCCCACGAGCAACTTGGTTCTAGGGGAACTTCCAAAAAAAGAGGGGAGCTCAACTGCTTGTCCTTGTGGGCAAAGGGGAGATGTGCCATGGAGCGCGTCCAGCTCCCCGGCAGGGAGAACAAGCACTCTCAGTACCAGTGCCCTCAGAAGTCAAGAGTTTTCCAAGCTCAAAATGATTTTTTTCTATTTAAAAGCAATAGTACAATTTTTTTTTTTTTTTTTTTAAGAAAGCAGGCAACTAAAACATGTTAATATAAATCACTCTAAAGTGATGCACCTACCAACACTGATTCAGCTCCACACTCCAGGCTCCCATGGGGGTAAACTAAGATGCTGGCACTTAGTATACACTGTGATTTTTGCAGAGTTAAGCTAGGCAGTCACACTTACCTTAGTATACCTGGACATGCAATCTCACCTACTTCGCTCTGGTTGTCAACCATGAGGTAAGTTCCAGAACTTTGTGTTTTACACAATAACTCAACCTAAAAACTTGAACTTGTTTCCCTTCTGTGAAGATCTATGAGCCAAATATTTTAACTGGAATCTCAACACTGAAGGTCATTTCCAAGCAGAATAATTACTTAGTATTCTTTATGAGAAAACTTGATGCTCCGCTGTATTCACTGAGTCCTTTCAGGTAAGAATTTTTGAATAATTCTGCAATCTCCAAAAAAGAGTGTAGATTAAAAAAAGAGTGACGTATAGTTTTCCTATCTCATGAACTTAAAAGAGTGTCTCTGCGGTCTGAAAYGAACAAGTTATTTGACTAAGTATTTCTGTTAACTAAAACGACTATTTTGTTAGTGGAAATAGTGGAAATTTTCCACCTATTTTCAAATTAGAATTAAGATCCTTCCAAGATGTAATTCTTCACTCAACAAGCGCGGGATAGTTGCTTTTCTCCTAACAAGGAACTTTCACACACTCTTTTTACTCACAAGGCGAAATACAGAGGGTTATTAGCAGAAAACCCAACAATGATCACTGTAACACTGTAAACAGTGTTTGTCAGATATATTACTTCAGACATAGAGGAAAGTATTTTTCCTATATTTTAGAGTTAGTGAGGTCTATTACCATCTCTCTGATTACAAGAGTAGGCTGAAGAGGCAGAAGGCAACACTTCTCATAGGAAGATTGTCTCTGCCCTTAGCCAGGCTGTCCAAAGGTGCCGTCTGTAGGAGCCCTCACGCTGCAGGGGTACATTGCCCCGTCACCCGAACACGGAGAACTTCTCTTTCTAGTGTCTCAGAGGGGAAAAGGAGGCAGGAAACAAGGAGTTAYGAGCACTATGCAACCCAGAGGAATTGAATCACTTGTGACTAACCTCCTTTCCCTCCAGCTCTCCATTTACACCTAAAATCACAGTATCGGTGAACTCGAGGAATCAACTTTGTCTCTCCCAAATGAAGTGGCCAAAAGAAGGTTTCAAAATCCCTCGGGCAAATCGAAACAGTGAGATTGCTCTAGCAAATGTCACACCAACCCACAGGAACTCGAACATTGTACATCACCCGTGGAAGCATGGATTACAGGCAACACCCCCACAGTCATCAAGATCAAGATGTTTTTCAATAGTAACAACAAACTTAATTGGGCTCTCAAGGTGTGACCTAGGCACAAGAGGAGGTTCTGCTGTGTCCAGAGAAAATAGAGGAACCATAAGGAGCATTCAGAAGATCTTAACACAGCTAAGAAACATGGACTTTAGCTCAAATAGATAGTTCAGGAAAATTGGAACTGATTAATTGAAAGTTGAAAAAAAAAACCCAAAATCTTTAAATAGACCAGAGCTGTGGTAACAGACTGACCTTCTTAGCTGATGATCTTAGCTAAGATCAGCTGCTGGATCTTTTATGGATCCATAAACAACATCTGGAAGGCTRTTCTGTACTTCAGAAAAGGAAGAAAGTTTGGAACGAAAGGAATTCTAAAAGGGCTAAGAACTTATCAGAGAGCTTGAATTTATATCACATAATTCATGAGCCAACCTCGCACTGAAACGAAGTAATAAACATACTTCCTCCGTTCATTAAGGCATTTAACTTGCCCTGTCCTTCAGTTCAGCWACCTTAACCTTCACTAATCGCTTCCATAGAAGATCAGAATACTTTGCAACTTTCCTAATGGCTAAAAAGTGACTGTGTGTGTGTGACTATGTGACAACTCCATCATACGGTTGTTCCTAACGGACAGGCCTAACAGCAGTGGTTGAAACAATGTAGAGTAGATCCTTTCCTCAAAAAGTATACTTCAAATCAAACAATTATTAGTCACAGTGCAAAACTGTCCTGTGGCTCTTGCAGGCTCAGCCATCCCTGCATTTAGGCTGTCAAGTGATTTTTTGGGCAGTCCAATTTGGAGGTAAATAGCAGCCCCTAGATCTCTGTCTTCTTGAAGTGTCTCCTAAATCTGTATGAAATCAAACCTCATTTCAAAGCTGATTTCAAATCAGTACTTGGAGAGCTCATTGTGCAAAAAGCCAGCAGCACCACTAAGTCAGGATGCACACACCACTTCCAGGCTCCAGTCTCACCTTTTTTCTATTCCTCTCATCTTTCCACCTCTGAAGTATGTTTTTTTTCCCAGGCAAGCCGGTGTCTACCTTGTAAGAGCTTAAGTGCATGCCTTGGAAGAAACACCTTCAATATAGACCCAATCTCAAGTGCTGGAATCGGGACCATCACACAGTATGTCCTATTTTGAAATGCATTAATATCCAAAAGACACAAGAAAAACCATGCTAAGATTGCAAAACAGAATCTTCCTGCACTTAGTGTGCATCTCTTTTTATAATTATGGTTCTAATATTTGAACGGTCCAATTCATAGTGCTACACACTTCAAAAGCTTCTCACTTCCTAAAAACCCTGCCGCAAATATATCAGTTACTTCCTTGCTTATAAGCTAGAAAAATTACCAGCCTCAAAATCGGTCATTGTCATAATCCCCTGATTTAGGAATAAAACCTGAGTCTTGGACTGCTGAAAGAAATAAAAACTGAAATTCCTTACCAACCCAGAAGGAAGAGGGAAACAAGATGCCTCCCTACAAGCTGCCTGACCATTTGCTATACATGGCACCAATATAAGTGATATTTTATATGTTATGAATTCTTATACAATTATTCTTTCATGGCTTACTCAAAAGAGGCTTTACCAAAACATTACTCAGAGGGTTTTTTGTTTTGTTTTGCTTTTTTTTGTTTGCAATATACTGTSTTCTATTTCAAGCCCATTTTTCCATCAATAACTGAGCCCTAGCTGAAAGAGAATAAAATTCCAGCTTTTATGATAGAAGCCTTTTTGATCAATAGAAGTCAGCAGCAAAAGCATTTGTGGTTTTTCTCTGGAAAGCATTTGTGGCCACAGACTCAAAGGAAGAAGAAAGGGAGGGGGATTAACTCTTCAATGAAGGTCAAAAACATAATTTAAAAGTGAACCAAGTGGAGCAGCTGTTTCTGTCAGCGCAATCAAGATTACCAGCTGGAGAATTTACCAGCAGTATGAAAACAATGTACACCAGATGTCAAATGTTGCAACCGTGAGTAGGAAAACATCTCTGGGCATGGTAGTGTCATGCTGGTACTCATTACCTCACAGATTTAACATTTAGCATTTATCTTTTAATTAAGGAGACACCATCAGGAAGAAACAATAACATTTCCTTAGAAACAGCTTTTGAGCCTTACCATATAAGCCAGGGCCAGGTGTACATGCTATAATCGTTTAATATTTCACATCCTAATGATTCTCTGTATTTTGCTGTAAACACAATATAATAAATTTTAAATTAACTTATGAAGACTAGAGCATCTGTAGCTGAGCTGGCTAGAGTTTCACTCTGTTCAGCTAAGTTTTTCACTTGAGGTTGGATCCTTTTCTAACAAAATCTAAAATAAAAATTAAAGTAACAACACAGCCTATTCCTCAAATAATTAGCTTTGCATATACCATGAAAAAGTATATTAGTAATATCTCCACCAGTACTTCTTTCGACAGCTGCTTTTTATCCTCCTTCTCCTTCTGAAGCATTCTTGTCTTTTTTTCTGTCCATACTCACTCAGCAATCCCCTGTGCTTGGCCAGCATGTTATTCCGGTTTTGGTGTGTAAAATTATCTGATGCTGATTTCTTTCTTCTGCACATTCTTTAACTTATCTCATACACACCCTCTTTTCTATTTGTCTCTTAAATGAAATCCAGGAATAAAAGAAAAAACTCTTTTCCAACACCCCCCCCCCCCGCCGGTCACTGTCTTTCGCGCTGATAAGGACTGAAACTCTTCTCATTGAGACACAAGCAGCTCTTTCTGGAGACAGTCAGCAAATTCAGGTCCTCACAATTTTATTTTTCTTTTTTCCAGGCTTTAAAATTCATCCCTCTTTAAATTTTTCATGAAAACACTCGAAGTCTTTATTACTTTATTATATCTGCCAGTATAAACTTTCCGGCTGTTGCCTCCTCCTGTAGTCCATGCAAGGTATTCTCGTAAAATCCTCCTTCACATTATTTTAACCATATCAGTGAACCTTCCTCTTAATTAGTTCTTTTCTATTTTTGACACTTTCTGCATCAAGTTCTGACTCTTCCCTCAGTCTCAAATAACCATRGCTGTACGTTTACAAATACTTACAGAAATTGTTCTCTGCTTGCATTGTAGTTTCGCCCATAATCTCCCACAATCTCCCATCCTTCTTGTTCAAATACCTCCCCTGAATGTAACAGTTGCTCCATCTCAATACTTGCTTTTTTTGTTCCCTGTAGTCCTATAATCCTAAGAAATAAAAAGTGATTCCTCTCCTCCTTTCTGGTTAATCACTATTATTTGATATTAAGGATATTTCCAGTTTCCCCAGCTAATTTCAAACTTATTTCTCTTATTCCCAACAAAATGCTATTTTTTTTATCATAGATACTGTTCTAGGAACTAGCCCAAAGCTTTTGTTTCATATTCTCTCTTTTCTTCCTTGCTTACTCAACTTCTTTGCCCAAAAGAAGATATCTCCACAGCAAAACACTGTGTCACCCCGGCCAATATAACTGAACCAAGCCAGACAAAATTATTTAAATACTGTCAGGGAAGGCAATGGCAATACATTAGTGTGGCACTCCTGATATATTACATATATTAGTGCAGGCTTATTAACCACTATAATTGAAAAAAATGACAAGGCATTAGAAATGTTCTATCAGTTGGTACATTTAATGGCTCGTGCACGTTTTCCTTTCTCTTTAATTAGAGCAGGCACTTCAATACATACTACACTGCACAAAGGTTGTGTAGATTCTGCATTTTTTCTCCTTTATTACAACCTATGCAAGGCTTACCTTAGCTTTGCCATCCTGTGCAGACATATATCCTACGCACATGCTCTCTGTTGTATGGCTCCACAGGAATTCCACTATAAAGAAAAATGCAACAGRTCACAAATAAATGCATTTGCTTCACATATAGGATGCAGTTTAACAAGACTTGACTTTTGAGGAACAAATTAAACTTATCTTAAAACATAGTTAAGGAAAACAAATAAACAAACCAAAAAAAAAAAAATCTTATAAGACTTGAGAAGAATTTATTCACCAGAATAAATCAATCAAGTTTGTTTTCCTGTACTGCAAAATTACTATTTGGAAAGTAAAAATTACTTCAGTGAAATTGAGCTTCCAAGACGAGCAGTATATAAACTGCAAAGGTAGCTAAAAGGTAAAGCAGACATTTAAAGCAGAGGCCTGTTCCACCCATAATACAGAAGCCTAAGGGAGAAGCAAATACAATATTTGCTTGTCTTGAACCCAGATATGAGCACACTATAACAGCATGGCCATGCACTGTGTACAAGCCTTCTGGAATATTGCAGCACTACCTACAGGATAATCAGTCTCAAGCAATTTGGTCGCGTAGCTAAACAAAGCAAAAAGACATTTGTGGTAGAGCTGCAAAAACGGGGGACAGGAAACCATGCAGAAGTAGTAAGGTCTATCAGGTAAGACACAAAGACACAGAGCAGGCAGGAAAGGGGTCCGATGAAACCAAAATAACCCTGCAGAATAAGGAGAGTAGTTGGATGCATTTTGAAAAATCCTGCACAATAAGCAAGAGAAGTCTTGAAAAGAAAAATACAATAAATTATATCAAGAGCAGATACAATCCCCCCCGCTTTTGAGGAGCRGAGGAAGCACATAGCACATGATTATTGCTAGCTATTAAAAGTAATACAACAAAAAACTAAATTACATACTTATTGCTCTGAAGATATTTCATCACATTTTAGTGTGTGTGTGTATATATATATAATATATTCTCCTGCAATAAAGACAGTTAATTATTCTATGTACAGCCAGACTCCTTCAGCACTACATAATTTATCTTCAGTTAAAACTACACAAATACTACATGTGTTAAGCAGTACATTAACTCACTATATGCTAGGAAGGCAGGAAATTTCTCTGCTGCATAAAAAAATAGTCTCTAGAAATAGCTATGCTGCAAGAATTTAATTTCAGTGGAAAGAAAACCAAAATCAACAAAAAAAATAGTCTTTATTTATGAATTCTGTCAATGATATTCCATCAAATCAATGTACTCAGGTTCTCTGTTGCATTTGAGGAGAAAATGCTGCACCTTCTTAATAGGAAGACATACATTTCCTTACACCAACGTCAAGCTGATTATTAGTTTTTCTCTTACTTCCAAAGATACGATATTGAAAGTTAATTTGATCCTATTTGCTCTTAATTAACTCAACTTGCATTTTCATTGTTAGTTTCTCTCTAAAGACAGGATTTATGCTGCAGGCTACTCTCCACTACATCAGTAACATCACAATTATTCCATTCCTGAACGTGAGAAGTGTAAATCAAACTTGCAGGTTTCTCCGTATGCTCAGCAACTCTGTTCCCAYATTCAGGAGTCAGCATCATTTATTAGATGGTCTCAGCTTTCAAACAGTTGAAAGAAAACACTAGGATGATTGTTGAAGACTCCTACAGGCAGTCACCTTCTTCAAAAATATTCAGTCTTTAATAAGCTAAACAGCATGAAACGCTCTCAATTCCACTTGCAGCACCTTTTAAATAAAGTTATTGAAGTACTAAGTCAAAAAAAAGAGGTTACAAAAGYATTTCATAAATCCTTTCCCACCAAGCCTTCCAGAATCCCCAAGTCGTCCATCACTATTACTGTAGAACCACCAACACAAGTGTAAGGATTCATGCCTCCAGTCCCTGGTTCTTTGAGGGAGAAATAAATGAAACACTACAGAGATGATGTATTGCTCTAGTATAAGAAGAAAGGTACCTTTGGATAATTTTGAAATGAAAAAACATCTTTCTTTTCCAGCTTTGGTCAATCAGATACGTGGTAGCTATAGAAGGCTGGAAGGGAACTACGGAGCAGCCCACAGCACATTGCAAGGGATTCAAAGTATGGAGTAAGACATTAAATAAATACAATGGTCAGTAACAAATCAAGGAGGTGATGCATGAACAAGCATGAAAGCTGCTCCTCTGTCACTTTACCGTTTCAAGGTAACTATCCTTATCCTATCTAGGACCGACTACTACGAGATGGAAGATCCTGGTAGTCTCATTTTAGAAGACACGTCACTCCCAACCCTTCACGGGAACTGTTGGTGGAGCAAGACATGAAACACCACAAATATCCAAATGTAGTCCTCTCCAGTATAAAGGCTTGCATATATAAGTAATGCATAGTATATAGTAGCCTACATTTTATTTATGCAGTCTACTTAAAAAAATAAAAATCCTTCCCATTCCACTTTGAGGCAAAGGCAATAGTGCATTTCTGCAGTTCTAGGTTAAGAATTCTACCTTTCAGAACAATTTGCTGTTCATGGTTGTGACAGAAAATAAAACAATAAAAATAGTTTAATAAATAATAATAAAAATAGTTTAATTACATTAAAATGTTCAAAAGATAGGCAAAAAGTGAACTTGTAATTTTTAAGAACACTTAATCTGCATAACTACTTTAATCTAACCTATCTGATATGCCTTCAAAATTGTAGTATACTGCATAATACAACTAACAGTATTAATATAATGTGTACATAATGTAGCCCAATGCTAAAAGAATTGTTTGGAATGTTAACCTAAAATAAAACAAACTTTTCTTTATAATTTGGAATAAGATGTATTTTGGCCTTACTATTTAATTAAAAACATCATGTTTTACATAAAAATAATTTCTCACAAGTCTTTCTTCTTTTATGAAGAAAATAGCAAAAATTTTACTGATACTACAGGATTTACATATCTAGTTCTCTCTTCGTGAAGGGCTAAACATTTCTCCAAGTTAATGACAAATTTTCCAAAATTAAAGAATATTAAACTTCTCAAGTGACCAGAATATGACTATCAGGAAGGCATAATGAGACATTAAAACAAATTACCATAATATTAATATATTTTCTATTACAAAATAGCACACAGAAACAAATCCTTGCCAGATAGATTTCTTTCAGAGTAAATGTTTGCTATATATATGTGGAATATATTTAACAGCCAATTATTGTAACACATACATACTAACAAATATTACCATATGTATTAGTAACTATATAGTTACTATACTATATGTATCAGTAGCTTTTTGTATTAAAATTTTATGTATTTGTAATAAAATTTTATGTATTTTATATGTCAATTCTGGTCTTTATAATCATAAAATTAAAGATTCCTAATAACAYGTAATAATATATTTATGTTCCACATTTTTTTGCAATAGTTTTTTTTGAAAATTATCCTATCAAACTTTCAATAAGTATCTTAGAAAAGAACAAGTTACCTGACTTATCTGAAAGCTTGATGCTCTTGGAAACAATTGTTATATTCCCGATTTTCTTCTCTTATTCACATGTTTTGCTAAGGGRTTTGACTTTCAGCACTCACAACTATTTTAGCACGTCTGAGTGTGGCTCTAGGACTTCTTACATTGCACTTTACTTCAACAGATGCTCACAAGACAGAAGGAGGAAACAGCCCGATAGACATGAATACTGGTGGAGAATAAAGGTCAGCCAGCAAATAAAGCTGAATTTAASAAATAAAACCAAGGAATGTGATGGAAGAAAACAAAGGTGCCTTTGATCACAGCAATGCTACTGAAAAAGGCAGCAAACTATCACAATGCAGAGAAGCAGAAATGGTATTTTCTTTTTTAAATGTTTTTAAATGTTAAGAGATATAGGACATGAGCGTCTGTTTGCCCCCAACCATAGCAGTTTTCTCTTCAACTGTGTTGGCCCCACACATTAAGACAATTTTAATAATAAAAAGCGTTTTCCGTCAGACAGTACAGTCAGACACTAAGTCCACTGCTTGTCACAGGTGGGAGGCATTAGTAAATCACTATGTGCAAAACACTGATGTTGTTCTATTCTATATCAAACCACTAAGGAAGAGATATCAATCAAAAGCATAAAGCCTCATAAGCTTGGACTGCTAGGCATAGAAATATTAATTTTATTAACTACATTGAGCAATGGGCTAGAGGAAATCACACAGCAGGGGAGAAATCAGACTCAAGTTGACAAACACAACGTAGTGCGTGAAATTTAAAGATAATGCAATCAAGCAAGGTGTAATATGGGAACAAAATCATAAGATAACTTGAATTAAGGAATTAAGAAAAGATGAAATGTCTTTCTAAATAAGAGCTCATAAATTCCAAAGAAATTCTACAATTCCAGATGAGATTCTGCAACCTGCCTTAAACACAGTTAAATTAGGTGATCATATTTGCCATTTCACATCTGAAGAAGATATGCAACCTACTACACGTTAAACTAAAAGTTCCTCTGTCAAATGCATAACGTTGTTGGCAGCTATACACGAAGCACTAGATGAAACAATAACAGAACTGAGGTTTATATAAAAGAACATTTCTCACTGGCAGCATTTAGAATCATACACATAATTCACAGCTCGTGTGACCAAATAAATTAGCAGACAGCACTGGCCAGACACATAKGCCCACACCAGAGCAGCCCCAAAGGAAAGGACATGACACAAGGGGAATGACAAAGTAATTCACGCAGTGAATAATGTCCCAGTCCTCCTTCCCTGCCTTCCAAGACGAGGGCTGTATTTCTCCCCACGCTGCTGGCAGCCTGCAGAGCTCCTTGCTGTTTGTCTGCTAAGCAAAAACCACGTGCCAGCTCACTGGAACATGTCTGTGCTGCTGTAGATCACTGGGGCTGATGACTACCTATTTTCCCTAGGATACAGACCGTGTTGAAGGGCTGTAAATYTCACACCCTTTTAAACCAGTTAGCTACAGAGTCAAAAAACAGTTTCTTGGTGGTCTCAATATAACRAGGAACTCTTGGTTGTGCATATGCACCAATAAAAATTGTAGCTCATCTGAACAGGTTTTCCTGGGCATAATAGAAAAAAAAAAATCTAACCATAAAACAACTTCCCTTCCAAATTTCAAGTCTATCCACAAAAATATTTAACTTTATACCTTAAAAACAAGGAACAAAAAAGTTTAGATGGCATTTCTGACACATAAGGCTCCTAAAAGCACAAAACATTTATATGCATTTTCTTAGCTAAAAATATCACTCTCTATATGAAGAACCCACTCCTTTCTCCCCCCCAAAACAATCATTATTTCTGCATCATCTTTTCAGAAACATTCCTTACATCTCTCAAAAAAATGACACTGTTGCTCAGAAWTAGCAACTTAGAAGGAATGGGTTTTCAGCAATTTTAAGCAACAGGGCTAATACTACTATTTTTCCCTTTTAAATTTCCTTTTATTCTCTGCATGGATTTAAACAATTGYAAACACACACATCATTATTTTTTTCTTTCATTTCCTGCTTTGAGCTAGAATTTAGGTTAAAATGACAACACATTAAAAATTCTTACCTAGTAAAGTTGGCTTTTCTTGTGAGGAGTCAGACTCTGCTGCACATCTGCAAGACCGAAGAACTATCACACCTCCGAGGACACCATCTTCATTGGCTAGAAAAGGCGAACCTGGGTAAAATTATTGGAGAGAGTTATTTAAAAAAAGAATAGTTTGGAGGATATTCTTGCTCTTATTTGACTTTCCTATTCCTTCCYTCTTGTCACTAAGGGAGGAAACAACTGCCAGTGCTTTAAAAAATGTCAACTTTATTCCCTATTGTTTCTAATTTTCCAAAGAGACTTTGYAGTTCATGAAAAATTACTTTCATTGTACGATTGGCAAAGACAACACTGAAAATTGCTAAGATAGCTTTAAAATTTAAGCTTGAATATTATTTTATTCACAATGTTAAAGAAAACACCAAACAAAAGCAGAAAAAAAAATTATGTATAACAAGTGACATAGCAAGCTTTGCTCATCACTTCATGCTCCTCTTCACATCCTTTCTAGAGAAATAATGCTGAACTCTGAATTAGAAATTTGGCRGCCACATGTAACAAATTTGCACTTCTATGCCTTTTTTTTGTGGACAGATATCTGCACATCTCAAACCTGAAATACAGAATTCASTCTGGATTTTAGGATGACTCATAAATTCTCAGCACATTAATATCAAATCAAATATTGCTCACACAGTAGGAAATGGCAAAGCCCACGCAGCTGGAGGCATCTACACTCCGATTTGAGACTGATCTAGGAGACCCAGKGAACCTCCCCAGGCCACATGCTGGTGAAGCCCCCACTCCAATACAGGCGCTAGACAAACTGGATCAACATCCTTCTTCAGGCAAACCAGTCTAATGAAGGTTGGAATTTTGCTTTAGATTTTGCTTTAGCACGGATGGTTCAAGTGAAAACAAAGCACTTCTTTCATAYACTGTTCACAGCAGCCTGTGATATTTAACTAAAAATATTTGGAAATGAAATTTGTGGGTGCAYAACCATTTACTATGGGATCAAGAAGTATATAACCATAAAAAGGGARCTGTCAAGTTAAAAAGAATAAATGGCTCTTAATATTTCGTTTCTTCTGTATTATAATTAAAGATGGTCACATATGAAAAATATTAAGCAAATTTGGGTCACTTTAATAGTTTGCTCATTTTTCCCAATGAGCACTTTGTACAGAGAATGAGCAAATTGCTATGACTGTCTTCCTTACTGTTTTATGAATATTAAAAGAAAAGCCAAAACACATCCTACTGCCTAAAAGTAAGTTTTCTATTATTAAAGACATATGATACAAAAAGTCTTCTATCAGAAGCTGGAATAGTTTTAAAGTTAGCTGAATCAAATCTAAGCGTTCTTTTTCTAGTTTATAATTTGAAGTGAGATTCCTATAGTTTAAAATACAAAAATAATAATGAGTTAAAKGTGATTTAAAATGTCTCCAGCCGCAGAATCAAGTCTGTTCTTGCACTTGAGTCTAAATAGATMCTAGCTGCACATTTGTAACAAAATATAATTTAAAACTGAATACACAATTACAACAAGCACTTCATATATTTCAATTGTTTTATTTTTAATAAATTAATACACTAAAATAGTCACTGTGAAAGGCATTTCTAGCCACAGGAAGTTTAAGGAATATCTACAGCCCCGTTCCCCAAGAAGATTCCTTTGATCAGCCCACAGCTATTCCTGTGATGCAAATTACTCCTTTAATACCAATTGTGGCAACTAGCATTGATACTAACTTCATGTCTTACTGCATGAAAAACTGCAAGTATTTCCATGTTMTCTCTGAAGGCCACAGCAGTCATGTTCAGAAATGAAGCGAGGTGATCATTACAATAAAAGGCCATATTGCAGGAAAACAAAAAATGTAGCATGCTTAATAAACAATATTATTTTACTTGACCTAATACATAGACATCACCATTTAAGTGCTATTTGCTTTGCCCAAGAACTCTTACTTAGGTGCTGATCATATCAGCAGAATGAACTGCATAAATCGTCCAGGCAGGATATCATGCAGTGAAGAATCATTGTAGATAGGAAAAAAAACACTTTATTTTTTTTCTAAGCAGTTTTTCTCCCCCTTTTTCTAGGCCTTATCAATGATAATGTTAGTGTTCTGACAAAAATACTAATAATCCCATTATTTAGAATGACTAAAAACAATCTAATTCCAAAAACACAATAATCCATAGCCTTCCATTAGGTTGGCATTGCTCAACACTGCTCTGACATGGGTAAATTTGGCCATATGGTTTCCCTGGCCAGTTTGTGTCCTGAAACAATATTTATCTAGTTTTTCCAGTTTAAAAGAAGAAAAGCAAAGAAACAACAAAAACAACAAAACATTCATTCTTTTCAGTCAATTTCAAATTGAGGAAAATAATCACTCAGGTTATGTCCTTTATGAGCCTTTTAAAGAAAAGATTTTTCAAAATAATTTCAAAATAGAGCTTCAAGCACAAGAGAGGAATCTTAACCTTGCAATTTCACCCAAGCAGTTTTACTACCTAAATATGCAAGATTAAGACCATGAAAACCCAATTTCCATATACTTTTACAGAATTCTGTACTTTAAACRTATTGCCCCAAATATATATATACACACACATAAATTGGAACCATATTGAAATAATTTTGTAATGATTGCATTCTGCTGTAGCTTCATACCAGTTTGCAAGATCCTAAAAGCTCTGAATTCTGTGCTGAACATTCAGAGGGTCCTACCAGACAGCACTGTAAGGATCCCATATAACTCTAGTGCTGGACAGATACAGAAATAAGTAACATGGCTAGAATACCTGGTAGTGGGGAAATAATATTGTCTAAATGACAGCGGTAAAAAACAGTCACTTCCAACAGTACCACTGAAGTTGTAACAATAAGTTCAGACAGACTTTTTCTTTCCTTCTAAAAATCATCCCCAAAAGCAACTTAGATACATGCTACAGTGCTATGTTCTGTAAAACAAGAAAAAAAATATATTCACCCAATTCAAAAAAATAAAAGTGATTCAKTTTTTTAAAATGTTTTTTAAAGCAAGCATTTTTTTGACTACACTAACTTATTACAATTATGCCTAGGAATGTATTTTAGCACAGAATATAGTAAACGAATAGTTCTGCATTAAGCAGAATACAGGACAGCACTTCAGCATGCTTATTATTAAACCTATCATAATAAAGGCACAAAAAATATTTTGCTTCATTCCTAAACTAAATCCATTAAACAAAMAATCCAATTTGAGTATTCCAAAAACCTTATGAATTCAAAGATTAGGAACAAATTTCATTAAATTCATTCCACAAATCCTTTTATTATAGCCAAGTCATTGACAAGAAGAAAGAGTGGTACAGATTTCTATACAAAACTAGTAGTGTAAGTACTGACATTTTTTCATATACATTATATTCAATTAGTATTCAAACAGAAAGTGAAAAATATACCTGAAATTTTGCTACATTATTAAAGTCTTAATGTTTTCTTCTGGTTGCAAAATGTATTTTTACTGCAATAAAACATATTTGTCAAACAAATCTTTGAGTTAACAACTTCCTAATGACAAAACTTAAAAAAAAGAAAAAAAAAGAAAAAAAAAAAAGTCTTTTAATAATACCAGTTTAAGTCTCAGGAAATTCAGTATTCCTCCCTATTTGCATAATATGGAAGAATTTGGCATCAAAAAAGGCAAACTTGAAGAACTAGGGCATTAGCTAACGACATAATGGCATTAGCGGTGACTGTAGGTCCACATCAGGGAGAAGAGGGAGGGAAAAAAATAATAAGAAGAAGAGCAAAGCACCAAAGCTTTCATTTCCTCCCTAGTAACAAAGAACATGTTTTACAAAACAAAACTTGTTTTACAAACACGTCTCCCTGTTACCGCTATCTGACATGTGGAAAGTATTAGTGCGTTTTTATTTACGTACTTTGTACCTTATTAATCTATACTAACGGTCTCTTAAAAATAAGCAGAGAGATCTTCATGGCAACGCCACGCTCATGGACCCAGCTGAACTCTGCGAGCGGAGCCGCAGCTCAGCCCCGCGAGCGGGGACAGAGAGCGCAAATTTCCCACCCATTAAGGCAAATACTTGCCTCACCGTTCAGCCTGGTTCTGGGGGAACTACAGCTACGAGGAAAGGATCATCTCTGTTCGCCGTCTCTTCCAGGTTACGGTGCTCCCATGATGGAAATTGCTGCCTCTGCAGCGAGCGGCATCGCAAATTGCTCGTTTCTCATTTATTTGTAGCTACCAGACAGATGCAGCCTCGCACAGATTTGATACAAAACTGTGAAAGAAGCGGTGTATTCACCCACCGCCGGCTAAAGGACTAACCAGCTGCTCATCAGATGTCTCGCACGTTTCCACAGCAGAGCAACCATCGCCGGCTTCACCGTTCATGTTCACTGTCCAAGTCCTTGACCAAAAACCTTTGATCTGAACATTTACTGTGCAGCAGCGTAAGCAGCTCACTGCGTTACCAACTCCCAGTTTTAACAAGATGCAACTAAACAGTTTTAAATCTTTTGGTGCTGGACTAGGAGTGAAATTCAGATCTTTTSTCCTCCATAATCTGCAGTGCACCTAAGCTGCTGGACATAGTCGGCTTTTGCACGTGTTTGAAGTGAAGCTGTTTGCTGCTCCCTGCTTCTGATTTGAATCAGGCCAAACTTCAAGTTCACATTTTAAATAAACATTAGAGGAATATATAAGCAGTAAATGAAACCTGCTTTTAATTCCATGCAATGTTGTTTGTTAAATGTTTAAGCACTAGTGTCTGAAACCAGAGATCTAATCAGGCTCTTCATTTCAGAGTTTTAGGTCTTTAGACCAATTTTCCTCAAATCACAGGACTCCTTGAAAATTAAGATCCTTCACATTCCCAAAATCATACTCAGGGAAGAGAGGAACAGGTTTTGAGTGATTTATTTCTACACTGATCTCCTAGGGAAATTAAATTCCTGCAACTGCACTGTCTGTCCACTAGAAAGTCTCCTCATTTTAAATAATCTTTCTAATCTATTAGTTGAGGGAGGCTTTGAAAATAACTACTTTCTTGCATATTTGGTGAGAATGAGTAACTGAGTAGAAAAGAAAAATCCTTATTTTTACCACCCCTGGAGGAAGGCAGGTAGCTTCCTGATGGTTACATGCAGTACCAGAAGCAGATGGAGAATAGATCAGCACACAGCAGGTCACAAGAGGTATTGCAGCTCCGTTGCACCACGGCACTTGTCCAGTACAACACGACACGCTGGGGAAAGCCTGGGCTTCTCAAGACTTCCATCTTCACAACATCGACCAGCAAAACACATGGCCTRGTTCTGTACTTCTCTTTGCAGTGATCATCCATGAAGAAGATTAAACCAAATAACTGCTTCCAAAATCAGGGGGGTGCTTCTCAGAAGATATGAATATTTTTGCAACTACTTTCTCAACTCCTACAACATCTCTCAAAAGGGATAACAACAACAAAAAAGGTTCTGAATATCTTCCTTCATGGAGAGATTATCCACTGCTCTTTTTGTTCCACATTCTGGAAAGAATCTGCTTTCAAGAACTTACAATCTTGGCTTTAGYTTAAACTCACCTGTAAATTTAGGGTATTTTTTTTTTATTGATTTCCCTGAAACTAACAGAAAATTATTTTCTATTTAAGAAATAGAAAATACTTATATTTAAGATTAAGCACACTTTGTTCATATGTCAAGTAAAATTAAAAAGAAAAAAGAATAGAGATTTAAAAACATATTTTCCTCTAGAGGAMAGAATATCAGTTTCTCTCTGTGTCTTTCAGATTCTTATTTTTAATACATGAAATTTTAAACTGCTACTCACAACACGGCCATTGCTAAGAGTTGAAGCTTCCCGCCAGGGAGATGACACAAACATTTACTCTGCGTCTGCATTCCACAAACTTGGCCACATTTCAAAGAAACGATGAGTAACAAAAATCCTCTGTTCTTTCATATGAAAGGTGCTTGTGTTTACTGAACATCATTCTTGGTCTGTGTATCAAGTCTTCAGGCATGCTTCTCCTAAAGATATTAATCTCAATTTGCAGAAAGTCTAAATTTAATTTCTCTCACCTCCAATCCAACTGTCAATTTTGCTTCCTCTGTAATAAACTTACTCTCAGAAAAGATGAGAGCAGCACATCTGCCATTAGTTTGTTCATCACCTGCTATTTAAACAGCTCRCACTGGTTAAGCCAGGCATTCCTTAGCAGGAAGGACTTCCAGGGCTCTGCAGAAGATGTGAGGAGTTCTGTAAACAGGAAGCACCAATCTGATGGCAAAAGCCATCAAAATCAGATGTTACCCCTCCAACATAAGTAAGTCACACTTTAATTTCTGACTAAGCATTGAATCTCTCATTTGTTAAGCTGTAAAAGCTTAATATGACCAAATTTAAGAAAGAATATCAAAGAACCAATCCATACCATCAGCAAGAGGCTGCTAGTCTGTGTTACCCAGTTGGTAAGAAGTCCTGCATCATACCATACATCCTAAGAGATCAATTGACACATCAATTTTCATGGAAATGCACAGAAAACAAGAGCTACTTGGTATAAGCCTAACAGGGTAATGCATTTTTCAATACTTYGCTTATATGAGCAAGAATAAGCTTTTCATTCTGCCTTCAGAATTTCTAAGATCTCCCAAAATTGCATTACCGGTATAAAATTTCCTAGTAGCAAGTGACATGTAAGCAACAAGATTTATATGGATTTTGAGGTTTCCTTGGACAGTTCTTCATTGAAGGGGAACTGAGGACAAACTAGAGTTTRTTCTTTCTGATCAAGATACAGAATTGAAGCGTTCCATTTACACAAAAAGGTGAGCGTATCCTTCCTCTTCCTCCACCACTGCCCCGAAGTACCACTGTGAGAAGGTAATACATATCTCAACTGTTAGACATGAAAAATTTGCAGCAGTAAGTTCTAAAATTAATACAAGATCCATTACCAACTAAAAGGTGAAATTATGAGAGAATTATTTAAAAAAAAAAAAAGCAACAAAGACATTATCACATCAGAATGCATATTCATACTACACTCCATTGAATGAAAGCTTTAAACCATGCAATCATTTACAAAAAGTAAATAGGCAATGGAATGGAATAGTAATGGAAATATATAACAGTAGTCATGTAATCCTTTCAAATGAAGAAAAAAAATCCCTTATCTTCTAACAGTCTTCAGTGAAAACTACATCAATTTTCAAGACATTAATTTCATCACATAAATACCAATTCAATACTTGTCTGTCCAAAGCACTCTAGAACATAAAGTGGCTTTTGATGTCTATTATATTTAAAATGGTTATATGATAAATAATTTGTTAATGTTGCCAAACCATCAATTTTAAGACATTCAACTGCATAGCACAGCCAGTGATTCAGCCAGGAAATTCACCCTTCAAACCTCTCTGAGTATTCTGTGACTCGCTAAGTGGGACAGTTCCATGGATTTTCCCTTAGACTTCTTAAAAAAACTCTTCTGCAGCTTGATCCAACACCCCTTTGATGTATTTGATCATCATGTATTTGATACGTACAAGATGTATGAAGTATTTGACAACACTTCTTATGACTCCATATTAAGCCCATCTTAAAAACAGAAGGCTTGAACAGAAGTTAGTATCTTAATTTTATTTAATACGGTTACTAGCTTTTAAAATAATGTTATGTACTGTTTAGGTAGCTTACCAATAAATTTGTTTTGCATAGTCTCTAGAAGGGCTTGATGGGCATCTTCCGTTTGCAAAGCACATGAACATTCTCTGGCCAGTATGGTTCGTACAAGGTGCTCTCCACAACCTACAGAAAYAATAAGATTAAGAATAATCAAAAAATATATATATCACTACGAGGACAGTAATTATTTTGCAATATCAGGCCAAAAAAACAAAACAAAAAAAAAGCTGTATAGGACAGATACGCACAATATTCTTTAAGAGTCACCAGAAATTTCAATTATGCCAGTAATTTCTCCCACAATTTTGCTGAAAATTCTACCTACCCAGTTGTAAACCAAAAAAGATTAAGTAAAAACAGAAAAAAAAGCAGCAAAAGAGTAAGAAGAATCAGTGAGACCGTCTGTGACTAATTCTTACCCAGATCCTGCAAGCTTCTCTCAAATAATTCACATACTAATCATTCTCACAGGAGCTTTCCTTGGATTTTTAATTATTAGCTCATAAAAGCACATGACCAACATAAACATTCACAGTTCATAATAGAAAAGTATATTTTAACATCTTAATATTATTTTAAAAAATATSTCTTTAAACCCAGATTATCTAGAAATGAGGCCCTAACACCTCATCTCCATAATGCCATCTTCTGTTTAATCCACCTGATTTAGCCTTTCATCCACAAAGGAATTAGTGAATTATTGATAGTGAAGTTTTTTTGACAGGCTGCCCGCTCCTGTGATTCCTGAGAAAAATTCATATAATTTTTAAGACTTTGTCTTAAAGGAATCAAAAAACTCCAGCAAACAGCTACTTATTGCTTCTGTTTTTCCTGCTACATGTAATACAACTGACACCTGTCCATGAGCAGGACAAGCAGGTCAGCAGGKTTTTTTAAGTGTTTTTCTCCCTAAGAAAGACTTTCACCTGCTGTTTTCCCCCTGTGCTCTCTTCTGCTCCTACAACATTAATTGGGACATACAGCTGCGATAAAACAGTATGGTGCATGTTTATCTGTGCAAAGTTTTCTTGGATAGGAAAATACATTGGTGATAACTTCTGTATGCAAAAATCGCCATGCTACTATGTCTTCCAGTTGTTGACATTTTTCCTCAATTGCAAATAAGCAATGACTTGGATAGAAGAGGTTTAACTGGGTACCAGTTTAGCTAAATATATTATCTAGTTAAGAAAACCACAAAAATGAACAGTGATTTTAATCATCTGCATTTAGCTGACTGCAGCTTGATCAACATGAACGTTAAGAATACACACCGGCCTAAAATTGCTGTGGACTCCAGAAAATATATTTTCTCTATATTTTCTCTATATTTTCTCTATATTTTCTCTATATATAGAGAAATATATATACTTCTCCATCAACTCCCAATCAACTCCCATCAACTCCCAATTACCCATATCTTTCTCATAAGCCATGACAAAGATGCAAGTACTTTGCTGGCTCCATACAGGAATCAGTTACAATCCAGTGGAATTGAGCTCAAGTACAGAGCTGCATGAAAACAACTTTGCATCTTCCACAGATAATTTATGACTGGAAACACTCTAGCTGCTTTAATATGCTAAAGAGCTGGCATTAGTAAGTCTTCAGACTAAGCTGGTCTCAGATGAAGGCAGCCCATTCTTCACGGATAACTTTAACTTTWCTGGAATTACTTGCAAGCCAGAATATTGAAAACGGAGAGGCTCTGGATGAAGTCAGCCTAGATCTGGCACCAAGAACTAACTAATAAACAAATCCAACTYAAACTGGCTCTGGAGTAGCTTGCTCGGTGTCGCTTCTTAGTACAGACCCAACATTCTGAGTTGGGAGAACTTACCAGTTTGGACAAAACATCACACAAACACATGCAGACAACACAGGTCTAATACTCTACACCTCCAAGCTCATCACAGACTTGCTCCAAGAACCTATTTTCTGATTACTCATCATGCAGCAATCCCTTAAAGCAAAATGATTTTACAAACAGTGTTCCTCCAAGACTGCTAAAGCATCAGAAAAAGAGTCTCCTCAACCTCCTCACATCATTAAACACCCTGTGCTGCACTATGCATGCATTAGAAGTCAAAGAATAAGCCCAAGCATCAGACTACTGAAAAACCTGTATATGCTTTCCAAAAGTTGCTATCTTCAATCCTCAAAATTCCAGTTTTGCCTTCAGTTATGAATTCCTTCTAAAAGGCCTTAAGAAAGTTCAGTTAAAGCATTTGAAGCAGGCTACTTTAGCACTGAATCTACATACTGGTGGCACAACAGGACAACTAATCCCCTCATTCACATTTTCCCTATTCTTCCTTTTGCTATTGATGTATTTGAAGAAGCCTGTCTCATCCTTGACATCCCTTGCCAGATTTAATTCCATATGCACCTCAGCCTTCCTCATTGCATCCCTGCATACCATGACAACACTCCTACATTGCTTCCAAGGGCCCTGTCCTCTTTTGCACATGCTACTTTCCACATGCTACTTTCTTCTTCTGTTTGAGTTTTGCCAGAAGCTCCTTGCTCATCCACACATGTCTCCTGCCCCTTCTGCCAGACTTCTTACTCATTGGGATGAACTTGAGCTTGCAGGAAGTGAGGCTTAAATACTAACCAGTTCTCCTGGGCCCTTCTTCTTTCTAGGGCCCTAGCCCATGGCATTCCTCCAAGCTGATCTTTGAAGATGCCAGAAGTTGTCCTCATGAAGTTCAGGGCTGCAGTCCTACTTATCACCTGCTTCCTTCTCACTGGATCCCGAAGTCTCGCGATCACTGCAGCCACGGCTACCCCCACCTTTCACATCTCCAACCAGTCTTTCATTGTTTAATAATAAATAAATATACTTTATTTACCTTCTAAAGGTAAAATTTATACTCTTTGTGAGGTAATAAGCACTGGCTTCAGATGTGAGTGAAGCAAATGAGTAACAAAAATCAGAGTGAGCCTATGCATCTCTAAGTTGTAATAAAAACAGATGCCACTAGTTCAGAATTTGTAAGTAGTTCTTAAATTGGCATCAAAAAGACAATAGCCATTTTTTAGCATGATGTATAATCTTATTTTCCTCTAGAGAATGACTTTATTGAAGAGTTCCCATAACATCAAGTCTGTTACACACAGACRCAGAAGAGAAAAAATCTAAAATGGGTTAAGACCAGCTGCAGCCCACTGATGTGATCCAGGATCAACCACAAGGAAAGCAGCCTTCAATTCTACTAGCACATCTCACATCCCTACATCTCCATAAACAAAGTGATTTCTTTTTGTCATATTTATGTCATCCTATAAGGCAGTAAACTCACTGACTGCTGCTGGCAGTGCATGTAAAAATCTTTCAGCACATCACATGTCAGCAATCTGCAGGGACAGATAACTAATAAAACTAATTTCCCCCTGCACTCCCCCACTTCTGAAAAGAAAGTTACTTCAGTTTTCAATGTAGGAACATCAATTTTTCAATAAGAAAAATAATTATGCAGTGTCTCCCATTCTTTGGCCAGATAAAGACTGGGGAAAGAATTACCATAATTACTCCAGCAGACTTACTCTTACTATCATCATAAGTTAGAACCAAATCCTAGACAGTAAATTATCTGCAGTTTAGCTAAGATCTCTATAGTCTCAAGTTGGGAAAATACTGTAGATAATACTAGGGCTAGACATAAAATAAGTACATGCAGAATTACAGTAATCTAAATCTGTTTTTTAACTTAAAATATAAAATTGTGGGTTCAAACTTATAGTTCCATTCACTTGTAAGCTAACCACTGGCATTAGCCAACTTCTGAAAAAAATGAATTATCGTGGATGGAAAGAGTAAAAACAATCATAACTACTTTAACAGATTTTCAAATCATGTACATAAAACAGAGAAAATCTTAATGCTTCTCATTTGCTCAACTATCTCACATTATGTGCCATTTAGCTGTATGTATTATGATACTTTGCAGTTTTTCACTGTATTATACTTAAACCAAACCAAAGGGGATTCCTTGGAARAATTCTCAGTTCTACAAGTAAAGTACAGCTAAACTTGTTTTAGTAACCTTACTGTAAACAGAGTTTAAATCACCTTATTTCCCATTTGGGCTGACAATTTCTCCAGGAACCTGAAGTTTGTTATATCTCAGAGAAAACCACTTTGCGGTGACGACCAAAGCTTCCATAAAGCTTCACACAAGAGTGAGCCAAACAATGATGACTGTCTAGAGAAGGAAAATTTGCTGGCTTAACCTAATGCTTTTTACTGAGCAATCTGTTTCATATAGTAATATTACTTTCTTAGCACAGTAACACTGTGCAACATAAGCTTGCCTACTCATAACCCACCATCTGACAAAAATACTATCGTTGTAATTGCTGTTGCCCATGTCTGCAGGGGCAAGTGATCCTTCTTTAGGATCACTACTGGCAAAATGAGCAATGGGAAAAGGATACTCTTACTTTGATAAATGGAAAAAAAATAAAAAATAAAAAATAAAAAAACAGATTCAGATTAGTATTTTTCATACAACATTTTCTGAACTGCAAACTAAGAGAAAAGAGGAAAAAGAAGAAAAAGAGAAGGGAAAGAGAAGAGCAACATGGAAAAAGAGAAAGAAAAAAAGGAAAAATGGAAAAATAAAAAATCCAAAGGAAAAAAAGATCACACGTAGAGATAAAAGTCAAAAAGAAAGGTTGAGGGCAGCCTTCTAAAAAAAAAAAAAAAAAAAAAGGAAGAATAAAGGGGGAGGAGAAAAAATCCAGCTGGAAGGAGAAATTGTAGAGGTTTTAACTTGCCCAGGCATTTCTATTTGACTTGCAACACTCTAAAAATAGGTAACAAAACACAAGCAATACACAAGCATTTCTCAAGGGAGAGGAGTCATTCCCTCACAAATCTGATTCCTGACTTCATGGGATTTGGTAAGAATTGCTGGGTTTTTTTGTTTTGTTTTCCATTTTGAAAAGCAAATTTCTAGCATCTTAAGGAAATAAGCTTAAAAAACAGATTCCTAAAAGGCTTCAGAGGCACATGGCAGAGGAACAGGCTCTTGTGAAAAGGGAAGTTAACAAGGATGAGACTCAACAGTCACTTATAAAGTGACCCAATAAAACTTTCAAGGTTTTTTTGTTATAGT